AAGCTATAAGATATCAATTTTTGAGATACTAAGTGAAAAGTTTGAAGATGCGGCAAATAAAAAATACTGAGTATGAAACCAAAATTCTTACAAGCTGAAGAGAAATGGTCTATACTGTGCTGAATGTCAGACACATATTTGTTATTCAGGGAACTGTTCACAGGAAATAAATCTCAAACAGTGTCGTCCTATAACTTCGTTTTTGCATTTAGTCTGTTCTCTGTGGATAGCTTGATGTCGATGAATCTGTTATGGTCACATGATGGCATCAGTAAGCATAGCAGAAAGGATCGTACTGAATATGACAGGGGCCAACACACAACCTTACTTATTCCATTGGTGAATGGAAATGGTTCTTATGATTCGCCGTAGTCCACCTCATGGCATTATGTATTTTTTCTGGGCTAGCCCCCCCCCCTTCTAGTTGACTTTGTCAGAGGCTTTCATCAGGTCGATGAATGTCGTGTACAGGTTGGAATTTGTTCCTGGCTTTTCTCAAGGAGTTGACGACTGTACCTGATATTTACCAAAATATATGTTTGCTACTTTAGGATGGCAGTCAAGAAAATGTATTTGAGAAATCTCTGTTGTATAGAGATGTCATTGTTTTGAAAGTAAACATTATATTAAAGCGAATCAAAGAAAAATAGAAGAAAATCAAACAATCTGAATTAAAGGAATGGTTCATCAAACATGTGACTTACACTAAACACCAAACTCTAAAGCATATAATGTGAGCATATACGCATTGACATGTGTCCAGTAGAAGATCTAACGTATCAACACTGTAGTACGGCTCGGATGATTGCATAAGGATATCTAACAACGGACCTAATACAAGTTTTTATAGGTAACCGATTGATGTACAAATTAGATTATCTAATAGGCGAGGACGTACATGGACTGTTTTACACTTATCTCTGTATGACAAACACAATAAACATCATAAGATTGTCCAGATTTTGTATGCACTTCTACAATTGATAGGATATGTCAGCTATTTTAATATTTGCAAACCAGCTGAAAATGTCATCTCTATTTATTGGTTTGTAAAATAAATATCCGTAATTACCACCCCAATACAAACTAATGAACGAATCAGTCAGCAAAGACCATTACTCAGCCTTCCGATACAAATTGAAAAATGAAAGAATGCGAAGAGAAAACTCTAACATAATCATGACTAGTTGCAAAAAGAGATCAATTTCATCCACGTGATCATGAGTAAAGATTCAATGGTGGACATGATCACAATTTCTATATATTCATTGATCCTTGCATAGGATGAATATTTTGTAAGAAAAAGAAGAAATCTTTACATCTGTGATTTGTTAGGCTATTGCCATGGCAACGAGGAAAGAAGAAAATATATATTTCATGGTATACAAGGACCTATGTTGAAACATTTTCTAACATGAGAGAAATGTTTAAGATTGTAGAACGAATCTTTGAAACGGAAATGCTACAAAGTAAACATTCTAACAGGAATTAAAGGAGGATACAAACTGGTTCATTTCCAAAGTACATGTATATCGAATTGAAAATAATAAAATCATTACACGTGGGGTTAAAAAAAACCAACAAATTAAATATATTATTAGCTTATATGTCTGTGTCAAAATGTTTAGGTTTATGTCTGTCACGTGCCTACGGCGGCATTATTTCTAACACAAGAGAAGGACGGACAATTTATATTAAATTGACTCTGATATATATATATATATATATATATATATATATATATATATATATATATATATATATATATATATATATATATATATATATATATATATATATATATATATATATATATTGCCTTAAAAGCCATTTATTCTAGCTTCAAATTAGAATTTCATTAGAATTACTTTGAATGCACAATTTATACTCTCAGAGTACATATAGTGGCTCTCAACTTCGTTGTAATTTTCTGCTTAAGAGATTCACCTCGGTACTAATTTCCCAAAATGAATGTTGCGTAAACATTGTCCCGACTTAAATTTGAATTTGTCGGTCCCAATTAGCCACAGTCTTTTTTGAACACTACGAGGGAGTAATTTCTCACTTACCTGTCTCTCTCGAATTCCCGGTCGAGAGATCGGTGATTAAGTGCAAAACAAACAAAGGCGCCACTACACGGACGTAAAATTCCTTTGGAATTTAACTTCGAACCGGTCGTTGCGTAATATTAAATAACAGACCGGCAGTTTCTTTATCCAGAATCGGGTTTATGGTCCTAACCTTACGTAATAAGTATTAACCTATCCTGGTAGTCTCCCTAAAAAGTAACTATAAGAAAATATGGGTATACATGAACCACGAAGCATCAGCTAATTTTGCCCACAACTTGACAATGTTAGTACTATTTTATCATTGGAGCTAACTGACTGATGTTTTGTTAAACATTTTTGAATATTGAGTTTTTATTGAGAGAGAGAGAGAGAGAGAGAGAGAGAGAGAGAGAGAGAGAGAGAGAGAGAGAGAGAGAGAGGAAAGCACTACAAGCAGCTTTGTGCTGCAATATAACTTTTCACTACTTTGTAAACGCACTGTATTAGATTAACATTACTTTGTACAATATAAGCATGTTCATTTCTAGAGCAGAACATGTGATAAAATGTATTATTAAATGTCCAAAATCTTATTATATATATATATATATATATATATATATATATATATATATATATATATATATATATATATATATATATATATATATATATATATATATATATATATATATATATATATATATATATATATATATATATATATATATATATATATATATATATATATATATTACATTTAAAAGTAGCAAAATTCTTATCACAAAACTACATTATTTGGCAAGATCTTGGTACGAGTTAGCAATGCAATGCAAGGAATCGATAAATTGTTCAGAAATTACTTTGCGAGAACGCACCTGTTCTCTCTGATATTATTTCCAGTAATACCATTTATCCTACTCTTCCATGAGAGAATATATGAGAAAAGAGGCATGGAATTTTTTTCTTCAGCAGGAGTTGCGATGCAGATCTTTCGATATTGCTCACGAATCGGATTAGCCAGTTTATGTCGGATCAAATCCCAGGAGGCGAAAGTTGGAGTCTAATGCATTCTACGCTGTCTTTTCTGGCAACACAATACCATCATGATAATATCTTGAATTATGGACGTTTTGTACCAGAGTTTTTATAATACCTATATAAATAGAGTTTATGAAGAAACTTCACCTGTGACCAACGTAATAGATGTCTTTTTATCTTTTTTTTATAGGTTCGGTTCATTCCGCTGACTCGCATCATTGCCATAAAATTGCAATTTGAACTTATAATAGGCACATGACCTTTTCTACTGCTTAAGTCGAAAAGTGCATTTTACAAGGGTTGTCGCTCAATGAACTTTCAAGAAATGAATTTATTTCATCGTTTACAAAAATATATTAAAAGTAATGGTTTTGATCGTGTAAAAATGTTTTATTTGTTAATATCCGGTGTGATTAAACAGGTCAACCGTATTGATCTAATGACGAGAGCATACGTAACCGTATTGATCTAATGACGAGAGCATACGTAACCGTATTGATCTAATGACGAGAGCATACGTATCACTCGGATTTTAATATCCTCATAATGAAAGCCAATTAATAATTAATTAATTAATTCGTAATAAGGATGGTTATGCAATGGTTGCTATGGTTATTATTTTTCCAATAATTTCAATATATTAAAGATCCTGATAAATTACACATATGAACGTAATGGCTATTGACAAATCCTAGCTGCATGTGTCTTGTTTCTCTTTGATTGTTTGTTTACCTTGTTAGTTCTGGGGCTTAGTTATTCAAATCTACCTTCTTTAACAACACCACCACCAACAACAACATCAACAACTGCACCATCGTAAAAAGAAACGAAAAGAAAATATTATGTGTTTGCGCTATACTGTATTTTGGAGACGTGCTCTGTTATCGAGATACACCCACTGAAAAATAATGTTTTGCGCTTTTCAATTGATATATGTCCTCCGTCTATTTTGATAGTTACAAATAGATTAGAAAGATGTACATTTAGAACATGTTCTGTTAGATTTTAAATATGTACGTTTTGTTAGGTCCTATTAGAATTGAAAGGTGGACCAATTTTGTACGTACTATTAATGTGAGAGATGTACGTGTTTGATAGATTTCATAGCTGTACGTTTTGAGTTAACGGATATTATTTACATTGTGATGCAAAATTCATATTTTAGTAGTAGCAAGGAAGTGTTGTGCAAAAAGTGAATTTTGTATGTTGCTGGTATTTACTTAAAATAAAACTTTTCATGTTTGACAAACTATTTCGAATTGTAGAACGGGAACATAGCTTAGGGTAGCTATGAGAGACTTAGTCATGACGTGAATTATGTGGAGATTTGTTACAATAAAAAGGGAACGAAATATAATAACGAATACAAATATTCATGTTTATTCCAGAAATATGTACATATGTGTGTGTGTGTGTGTGTGTGTGATTTTTACCAGTATTGAATATTTTCATGTGACATTGACTGAATTGAAACATTGCAATCTATTGTTGGAGTTTAGAGGATTCATAGTAATTTGCATGTAATATTTAAAATCAATTAGAGAGCACAAATTTCAGTGGCTTAAGTACTCGTTATCCATGTCTTATGAACCCTAATGTAAGACAAGGCTTATTTTTTCTAATCCCGTTATCCATCGAAATAAATAACCTTATGGTTCAAAGTTTTATTTTGATAACCCGTTCCTAGTATGACAGTTAAGAATTCCCTGTATGATGTGTTAGGGTTAGGGTTAGGGAAATGTTGACTTCCATTAAAACACCGCTTTTAAAGTTAAATATTTTTACAGTACAAATTTCTAATCTGCCGACGCAACCAAATAAAATATATAATGGAAGTATATTAATATAGCAGATTCCGCCATTTTCGTTTCTATATTTTATGCATATGGATTTAATTTTAGAACTGAGGTAAGACCGCTCTGGTGGCTTAAATGGTAGAGCGTTCGACTTCGATGCGGGAGGTCGCGGGCTCGAACACCGCACGAGTCTTACAATGACATAAATATGGTTCTGGCAGCAGACTCGCTTGGTCCTCGGCATTAAGAGGTTAGTGTTAAGACTTATAGGCCTGGTGATAGTATAATGTGTCTGGGTGGGACATATTGCTACATGTCTGCAGTATGATGCCCCAGTGTTAGACAACACTATAAACTGCTACGTAGCGATTTGACTATTGACTGAAAACGTTTTTAAAGCTACTTAAAAAATCAAAATTACACAAACTCACGCATACACACACGCACGCACACACACAACTGATGTATTAATTTTGATATAGCTCTACCGTCGAAATAGTGAATAAACATAATACTTTCGTCTCTGAAGTATTTTAATAAAAACATAAAACAAGTTTAAAAGCACCATCCTTGAATTGAATCCGACATTATCCATTTCCCATTTATAACACTTATAAAATCCAACCCAATCTCAGGTTTTTCCTATTTATTTATCTCTTTAAATACAAATGCTTGTTAGAATCTAGAATAATTCAAGTCTTTCCCATTTATCATTTTGTTGTAACAAACAATGTGTTAGAACGTAAGTTAACATCAGAATGTGCCACGTTTTTTTTTCCTTAAGATTTATAGCGTAATTTAACATCAGAATGTGCCACGTTTTTTTTTTCTTCTAGATTTATAGCGGTCTCATTCATTGATCGCCTCACTAAATTATTCTAACAAGAACCATACCTTTTAGTAACGCTGTTAATAGTCGAGATGAATTTGATTAACCCAATAATGGAAACGCAGGTGCTGTACCCCCAACTGAAGAACTGTAAAGTGTAATCGGGAAATAAATAGTTATCGTTCAATAAGTACAACAGACATTAATTCCCAATACATCTGGTCTCATTATAGATGCTAATTGCATATTTGTATTTCATCTAGTGACCCGTAATATTAACTTAATTACATCGAGTTCAGGTGATGCTTTACGTTTGAAAAAATCGTCAGTGGTGTTGTGATAGGGTAGCCCGTTGCCTCCGCTGCAGCAATGAAGTGTGTGTTGCGCTGCGGCTGCGATGATGCCTAAAATCGTGCTTGGAGTAGCGTAGGTTACTCTATTTGCTTTGCACCTGCTAACACAAATATTTAAGAAGAATATAATGAGATGAGACTTAGAAAATGTCATTTCAACGAGAACAGAAAAGATGAACACCGTCGTGACTATCTGTTGGCAAAGTCATATGCGCGTCTCTCTGAAAACATAGCATTCATATTATCAATGCTGCATAAGAACTTGAATGAATCGTTACGGACTTTCTGATTTTTTAAAATATTTCTTCAAAAATTTATTGAATTGCTGATTAATCTTTCTCTGGCCGTATAATGCTGAAAAGTACATAAGCAAAAACTATTCCTTGATTACAAGATTGCAACATTTCACCAAGTGAAGACTTATTTGGAAATATATTTTTATATAAGGTGTCTGAAATCAATAACATGGCGTCTGCTTCCCGGGTTAGGAAAGTAAGAAGTAGGATGTTCTTTATGCTAAAACTTGAATTTACCAGCATGAAATATCACTCGCTGCTGAATTCTTCTTATGAGTCACCAGCATGGAATATCACTTGCTGCTGAATTCTTCCTGAGTCACCAGCATGGAATATCACTTGCTGCTGAATTTTTCATATGAGTCACCAGCATGGAATATCACTTGCTGCTGAATTTTTCCTATGAGTCACCAGCATGGAATATCACTTGCTGCTGAATTCTTCCTATGAGTCACCAGCATGGAATATCACTTGCTGCTGAATTCTTCCTATGAGTCACCAGCATGGAATATCACTTGCTGCTGAATTCTTCCCATGAGTCACCAGCATGGAATATCACTTGCTGCTGAATTCTTCCCATGAGTCACCAGCATGGAATATCACTTGCTGCTGAATTCTTCCCATGAGTCACCAGCATGGAATATCACTTGCTGCCGAATTCTTTCTATGAGTCACCAGCATAGAATATCACTTGCTGCTGAATTATTCCTGAGTCACCATCATTAAATATCACTTGCTGTTGAATTCTTCATATGAGTCACCAACATGGACTATCACTTGCTGCTGAATTCTTTCTATGAGTCACCAGCATGGAATACCACTTGCTGCTGAATTCATAACACTTGCTGCTGAATTCTTCCCATGAGTCACCAGCATGGAATATCACTTGCTGCTGAATTCTTCCTATGAGTCACCAGCATGGAATATCACTTGCTGCTGAATTCTTCCCATGAGTCACCAGCATGGACTATCACTTGCTGCTGAATTCTTCCTATGAGTCACCAGCATGGAATATCATTCGCTGCTGAATTCTTCCTGTGAGTCACCAGCATGGAATCAACCTTATGTGGCTGTCACTAAATTATAGGTACCTAATGTCAATGATTTATGTGTGAACAAAAACTGCACTCGCGTTTAGTTAACGTGTACAGCGTGACCGAGAGTGATTTATTTTCGTCTTTAGCTATTTCACGCTACTGAGTACGGTTACTTAGAGCTAAATGAGCAAATGGCTTTGCATTTGCCTTAAGCTCTCATGCCTTGGAATGCACAATATCCATGGTACTTAAAAAGCATTGTCTGACCTTATTATCACTATACGACGAGTTTTGTCTTTTGTCAAGAAGCTGTCTTCTTTTCTGGAGCAATCCTCAACTATAGGATTAGGTTTATATTGGTGTTCGTAAAACTCCGTATGCTACAGTTGATTGGAATGTTGACTCTGACGAAGGTTTTGCAACGGTCGCAGTGAAGGACACTAACTTAGAGATCAGCAGGTCTGCATAGATTAAGCAGGTTCTCGAGGAATCCTATTGCTGACTGGGAGGGCGGACAATGTCTGGTGTTTACTTGACCATTGGACGAGAGCTGTGAAACCGGAAATAAGTTGTGACGAGAGCTGTGAAACCGGAAATAAGTTGTGATCGTCAGCTGGAATCAGTACACAATTAATAAAATCCGGTTCAGTACCCACGAATGTAGTCCCAGTCTATTTTTAGATCACTTTTTCCGGTCTAAATTTGGTGGGGATACTAGAGTTAGATTTTAGCATTCTTGGTAAGGATTTAAAGGCAATTGATTATTCTTTAAAATGTGATCTTATGGTATGGTTGTCTGTGTGTATTTCGGCGACAGTGCACATTGAGTAATAAGGTCATGGTGATGATCCGGAAGTGAAATCTGTGTTCCGTTGCCTGATGTTTTGTTTACAATTCAGCCTCTCAAAAAAATGCAGGTCAACCCTTGACAAGAACTAAACCGTAAAGTCATCTTTGAAGGTATTTTAGATTAACATATGATTTGTATTGATTGTCACACAGTGGAAAGTTCAGTACTGAGGAACAAATGTAGAGACCATATAGTAAAATTAATTGTGTACTATGTCCTGTCAGTAAAAACTTGAAACTGATATAAATTTTTTATTATTAATGACATATACATGAAATTTTAATATGTTATGTATATTGACTTTAAAAATATAAAAATGAAATTAGAAGTAAAAAAATAATTTTAATTTTAAAAATTTAAATGAAATTTAAAAAACAATCTAAAAATAAAATATTTTCACCAAGTATACACATATATAATATTTTTTGGGAATGATATTATATGATATCAGCATATATATACTCCTACACCATATACAAGCTCAAATGATGGATATTTGTCAAAATTGATCAGAGAAAATATCTTTATTAGTCAAAATGAGACCCTCTTTTAAAATACATGAAGACAAAATTCTACTTTGCTTTGTACCTTTAGGTCATTGAAACTATTTATTTGGGGTTCAAACAGTTAATTTATGTGTTTATGATGGGATGACTTCCTGAGTAACACAGATCTGCTTGTATAACTATCAGTAATTGTTTATAACCATAGTTATAGGGTATTTAGTGAGAGGACAGAGATGAAGACTTTATACTAGAACCTGTTCAAGTTCTCTACAAAATCATATTAAGCTGTCAGAGAATGAAATACAGGTCAGAGGGGTAAAATGTACTTTATGCAGGTATATTTACCATTGCATGTAAGAAAACAGCAAAATGATGTAAGTTGAACACAGAATGCATTCCATTTTATTGTTTAGTTTCTTTAAGATGTTGATTGATGTAGTGCGACATTGTAACCCAGATGATATTATGGGAATTCTCATGATCCATTTTGCTTTATGCATTATTAATGACTAATGATATTTGTTATCTGACACTTTAAAGATTACATAAGTAATATTCAAACAGATTATTTGAATTTAACTTTCTATAACTGATCCTAACATGGTTACATAGCTGATATGAACAAATATGCATATATTTTGTAATGTTTGGAATCAAAAGTTGATATTGTTAGGCTGACATGGTTACCTATAGTGAATCTGTAAGGCTCAGTTTTGACTGTGTGCACTTAAAATATCCCAAGATGTTATTTTCATCATGAATATGCCTCTGTATGGTAACACATTTCAATTTAGTACTTTGACAGAGGGCGGTATTGCAGCATCAGCTGATATTTGATTCCATTGAATCATTGAATCATTGAACTTAATAACTTGGTAGCCAAGACTCTTAAAAATAGACTAAAAATGTTCAAACAGATTAATTGAATCATGTTTGCACATGTGATTTTAACAAGTACATTGCATATGTCCCACACATGCAAATATCCATCCTTGTTTACAAGTTTTCGGGATGAAAATTTCACATTTAGTTGATGATATAGGATCTATTGGTACCTATAGTTGATCTGTGTGGCTACATTTTGCTATATTTACTCACAATATCTAAAATTGTTTTTCCGTCATGAATAAGATTGCATATAGTAATAAATTTTAATTTGGTACATTGTCATTTGACTTTCCACTATACTGGTATGTATCAATGTTTGCACCAATGATCAAACCTCATCGTTCCAACATTGCCTTAAACTTTATGATACATACTCTACCTGATTAGTTATTTAATTTAAAAATGGCTAAATATGCTTGTAGAAACTTCAACTATTTT